ATATAGTATTCGATGCTCAGAATCTGGTTTCTTACTTGCCTACACTCTGAACGACCCCCTTTTCATATTTGTGCTTCGTACTATGGAGATACGGGAAGTCTTGGAATGATGTTTGTCACTCGCGTTCTGTAAAAACCTCTGCTATTGAATTCTTCAAGGGCGCACTTGCAGTGATTACTTTTCCTGTTAATAACGTGTTTATTTATAAAATCAATCAATAATAGTAAGCCAAACACTCTAAGAAATAAGAAAAGGAATGTTAATATTTGCGCCCCTAGTCGTCTAATGAGAATGAATGTCAAAATTCACTATATTCTTAATATTCTTATACTATAAGCTAATTGTTATTTTATTGTGTAAAATAATATTTGTAATTATATTAATAAAATATATATTTTTTAAGTTTTCTGTAAAAAGAATTAGATTATTTGTAATTACACAATCTAATAATCAAATAAATATTAGAAAGAGAATGAATGATTTTTATTCTTATACATTATATTCTTTTATCAAATACCATTTAATAATCAAGTAAATATTAGAAAGAGAATGAATGAATATTCTTATACATTACATTCTTTTACGAATTTGGTAAAAGACGCATCCTGAGTTGGAAGAGCAAGATGATTTTTTTTTTTTTTTTTTTTTTCCATTTCCCATGAAGGTAGAATTTTAATGTCAAAGCAACTTCGTTTGTTAGAAAATTAGATGTGCTTGCTATTAAGCATGACAAACCTGAAACTAGTATATACAGCCCCGTTCATTTCGCCGATTCGAGTTTAGAATTCGAGTTTTGCTACAGTAAAAAACTCTCAGAAACAATCACATCTAACTTTTTTACTACAGTAAAAAGCTCTCACATAAAATCACATCTCAACTCGAATTACAAACTCGAATCAGCGAAGTGAACGGGCCCACACAGTATACTACAGATAAAACGTATTTTTGCCTGCTAATCTGTACAGAGTGGATTTCATCATCACACACACATGTATGTATTAATATTCTACTGAGAAGGATTTCATTACTCATTAGTATATTTCTGTGATGAAGAATCATCAAGAAAACCCAACCGCTGGACAAAATTCATAAGAAAAGGTTCAAGATAATTCTTGCATTTTACTTTGAAGCATTAAATGATAGAATTGGTTTTATGAACTTTTTCATCGCATAAAAGGTAAATTTTGACCTCGTTCATTTCACCGATTTGAGTTTTCAATTTCAGTTTCACTACAGTTAAAAACTCTCATAAAAAGTTATATCTAACTTTTTTATTACAGTTAAAACCTCACATAAAATCATATTTTAACTCGAATTGACGAACCGAACGAGACCTTTGTCACTCGTCTAGTAATAGTACTCATAATCCTTACTCAAATATTACGCTCTATAATGTGTTGAAAACTCAAAAGGAAAAGTAAAACAAAAATAAGCTACAAGAAAAACGATTTCACCCAAAGAAAAAGATCTGAGATAATTACAAGTATGGGGAAAAAAAAATACACGAAGTGTGGGTGATTAAAAACATTATTGCTCTGAAAGGAAAGCATAAATGCAAAAGAGATGACATGGACATTGCGGCAAAGAAGATTGAAACCACCAAGACTCCTCAAAGAAAGAGCACGTTCCATTTGGTACACTGCGAACCCAAGACTTACCGTCAAGGATTGCTCTCTTCACAGCAATGCCATATGTTGGAAAAGATACTTCTAAAATCTTTTTGCGACAGGATTGATGCGTTTGGAAGTTGAAGCTACATCCTTGCCAGAAAATGTATCTGGCTTCATCATGGGAGGGGCACTGTATAACAACACATAGGACAAGAATAAGACCTCAGTCGAGAGTATAATTTGCATATACATGTATAAAAATTAACAAAAGATGAGTGTTTGTACCGATGGTTTTTCCTCAGAGCATTTTTCTTCATAGCTGCAAGATTTTTCACCTCATTGCTGATCAAAAGCAAAAGGTGAAAGAAAGTCTAGTCAGTACCCATAAAGCACGTTCAATGTAAGAAACTTGCTAAAGAAGGGAGGAAAAAAAAGGAAGAAGGAAAAATACGAATAACTAATAGAGAGGTTTAAGTATCTTAATGCTTGAAGAGAGACTTCTCCAAATAAAAATACAAGGAGCCTGGTAATAAACTGTTCTCACAAAAAAGAAATGTACAACACTGATCAGTTGAATTTTACTCTTTCTAACTGAAGCAGAAATTACAAATAAACATGAAAACTAACAAAGAAACATAACTTTTTTTTTGGGGCCAACAACAACTTTGCAAACTGTAAAAGGGATTAAACGAATTTGCTTTGACCATCACAAAGGTCATCAAGAAGAAATTTTACCAATATCCATGCGAGTGCACACATATTATATACATGCATCATTTTAAAAAACTAAGATTACCTCTTAAGATAATCTATTTTTGCTTTCTTCATTATGTTGCTCTTCACGTTGGACACATTATAGCTAGGTCCACTCCCTATAAAAAGAACGTCATATGAAACGTAACTAACATGTACCTTAGTAAATGTAGATTTGACAATCCTCTTCAACATTTGAGACTAACAAGTTGAATGGGATGTGATGAATAGAGCTCACATCATTAAACTCAAGGGCGGAGCCAGAAAAATAATTGAGAAGGGGTGGACATATAAAAACAGATTTTAAGGGGGGGCGGGGGACATGTAATTTCAGATTTATAGAGGGGACAAACTACAAATTTGAGCAAAATATACATACAAAATTAAAAGAAAAATTCAGGTGGGGTGGCCGCCTACCCTCACAGCCATGTGTAGCTCTGCCCCTTAACTTGAATGGGCCTATGACAGAATCAACTGGAAGGAAACAGGAAACTTACCTCCAAAAAAGCTTCTTTTGCTTGAAGGAGGAACCTTTGTGCAAAGACGAACTTGTCGACTTTGTTTTACTGAAATAAGAATTTTAACCACAAAGGAATTAGTACGGTAGTTCATATTGTGCTAAACTCCTGCTTCAGAGTCCATAAAATGATAATGGACTTGTTGAGATATTGATATCGTATTTCACTTCAATGGAAACATTTTTCTGCTATTAGACAAGGTTAAAATGGTCCAAACATTATATTGGAATTGAGTCTCTTTTTGTAGAATGTTAGTTTCTGTAAAAAGAATCAGACAGGCTTAGGACTTATGATAAGGGTCAAAACCAAATAACCAATTAAAGCAAACCAAACTAATCAAGTCTTGGCAAACAACCATCATCTAACGTATGAAATATATGTTAAAGTGCAAAATGGTCAAGAAAAGAAATTAATAAGAGTAATCTAAATTATTTTAACTTAAAAAAAAACTAGGAGTTACCAATATATTATATGAAACATAAATGAGTAATCAAAAAGAAAAATGGAAATATTGATCAGAAAACCTGGCATTGAATTTATAACTTATTTGAGAACATAGAACATACAAGCATCTGCTTCCTTATATCGTTGTGCAATGCGGTCAAAAGCTTCATTTTGAGCCGCATCCACTTCCTTCTTTTTTGCCTGCAATAATCATCCCATTATGTGAAATTCAAGAAATTGATTTCATATATTGCAAACAATATGTGTTTACGAATGAACAGACGTGTTTGTAGCATTAGAAATGCCATGTACATGAATCATTAAGAACCATAGTGTGTTAAAGCCAACATAAAAATGATTTTCAAATGAACAATATGAAGAAAACAAACCTCATACAACTTTATCCATTTATGCCTGACATTTCTCTTCTCCATCCTCTCAACAACGAGCTTAGCATTCGCAACACCAAACTCCTTTTCGTAGATCTTTTTCCACAACTTGTCAGTTACCGGACTCAAGTCTCTTCCCTGCGAGAGTCATTTTTCACAGACTTCAACAAAATCATAAGCAGAACAATTTCATTCTTAAAGACAGCGTAGTTGCTGGCTATTTCTTACTTCTGAGAACTTTTCGACATGCATCAATTGGTCAACTGTACAATGGGGTAAAATCCGATCGAGGAGATACAAATCTGTTTCTCCAACATCCCCAAGGTACCTTAAATTATCAATTGCGGTAAAAACACACAGATCAACCAAAGATGGAATTTTCCTTTTCATCATGTTATTGCTAGTAATCCTCGGCAGTGTTCCTCGATCACTTCTCTTCTGCGTACGCCCCTGCGAAGTCTATACATTAGGAAACACAATTACTGAAATAAAATAATTACAACAACATCAATTATAAGAAAAAATGATAATTATAATATTTGCACATCAACTAACTAAAAGTTGCTAAGCTGAACTTAATTAAGAACAAGGCTATCTATTATGGAGTACAAACAAAAACAATTAAGGCTTGGAACTACCAAAAAAAAATCATGACTTTCAAGAATTAGCAAAACAGAAGCCTTTTTCAGCCAATAAAAAGATAAAAAAAAAAAAAAAAACTAAAAAAAAAAAAAAAAAAAAAAAAAAAAACTAAAAAAAAAAAAAAAGAAACACAAAAAAGGGCCTGTTCTCTTATGCCTCCATTATTTATTTATTTATTTATCTTTTTTCGAAAGACCTTCTAGAATTATTTTTCCTTGAAAACCATTTTGGTCAGGAAGTGAAAGAAAAAAAAATAGTTTAACAAAATTCTCACAAAAAATAAGCAATTATCAACTTATCAAGTCTTTGTTCACTCGTTCACATGACTTAGCCGAAGATTCAATCCCACTCTGTTTCCTCCCTAGGACAAGCTCATACATCATAATTCAATACATTCTGATGAAAAAAAAAATGAAAAGAAAAAAGAAAATTTATATAACTAGGATTCATTGAGGCAATCCAATAACTATATTCAATGAAATCGAAATAACAAAAGACAATTCGTATTGCTATACAATAAAAAAGAAAAAAGGCAAAGAAGGCAGATCGGAGACATGGAAATCAGATAACAATTGAGCTAAAACAGGCACAAATTAGTACCCAAAAAAAAAGAAGGAAAAAAAAGAAAATAGAGAGAGAGAGAGAGTAAAAGAAGAATAGGGATGAGGAAAGGAGATTGACCGAGTGATCGGAGACGGAGAAGAGAGCTTCAGGAAGTTTGGAGAAGAAGGAAGAAGATTCTGTTGGTTGGGAGTCTGCCCTTTTGTTAACGTGCGCCGGGCTGTGTTTCACGGATGACGAGGCGTGATCTCAGGTTTTCAGTTTACTTTCAGAACGTGTTTCTGTGTTTAGGCTTCGGCTTCGGTTCCCCAAAATGAGGGTCTCTGCTATCGTGCGCCGTATTGGTTGGCCAATGGCGGGTGTCGTTTTTTATTTTCTTTACTTTCTTTTTTCTTTTCTTCTTATTTCGTTTCACCGGACGACAATGTAGAGATGCAATAATAGGCCGGGACCTGTGCAGCCCGTGCCCATTCTGATACGAATAAGTTCATAAATATTGATAGGTTGGCCTGAGTCAACATATATCGGTTCATGAGTCGGCCTGACACTATCTATAAAAAATCAAGGGTTAGGTCGGGCTAGGTTGACCCGTCTAAGTCCATGATAGGCCGGCTCTGCCCGGCCCGTTTAGACCCATAATGGGGCAGTCCAGCCCGGCCCATCTAGGCTCATAATATCTTCATTTTTTTTTCTTTTTTTTAGTAATCTTGTAAACATCTTATGTATAACTATCCTGATTGTTTTTTTTCTTTACCAATGTTTTGTCCTACTTGGTTTTCCTTAGAAATGTTTTTATTTAATGAGGCAATCGTAAATAAAATATTCATTTTCATATTTTTATTGACTATTCAAACTTTTATATTTATTAACTTGTTTAAAAATTTAAAAATAAAAATAAAAAAATTGAAATTGCATGCTTAGATGGGCTTACTCATCTAAACGGCCAAGATGGGCTTTGAATGAGCCAACCCATTCAAGGCCCATGGCACGGCTCATCCTGGCCCACGGCACGGCCGAGCTTGACCCACGTAAAATTGGCCCGTGGTATAGGCTGAGCCGAGGTAATTCTTATACGGGCCGGCCCGGTCCAGCCCACAAAATTCGTAGACTGTGCCGGCTCAGTGTTACAATTATTCTGACGTAAGTGGTAAGCGACGAATTTCACTCGTCTAGAAGACATCTCACAATCGTGATTATTGGACCATTAACAATTATTTTGAATTTATATCACTATCTATTCCTTTTCATTGTTAAAAAGATAAACGCACTCAATGTCTTGCTCCATCTCCCACCATCACCATTTTTCACCCCTCCTACATCCTACCACCCGGATGATGATACCGAATGATCCACTCGAGGTCATTAATTTGTCTTAAATTACCACTACATGCTTCTAGACTTGTCTTAAATTACTAATTTCATCATCCTTACTTGTTCACTCTTCTTATTTTTTGCTCTCGCTTGTTATACCTGCTTCTTAGTAAAATCCAATTACTCATAAATTCGGATATTCATAAACCATGCATTTTAACATCAGGTTTCCACATTTATTACCTCTCCCAAATTCCAAAAATAAAAAAAAATGACTGTCCATTTACGTTAAATAAATAACCACAATCTCACAAATTGTATGTCTTACTTCATTTATTCACTTATTCTAAATTCAGGATGCGTATGTACAGTAAATATACATTGTCATTTTTATTCGGCTTCCGCGTTTCTAAGGGTGCGTTCGTTTGGGCTATTAAACTTGAGTTAGCCCAATTCAATCTGAGTTTTGAGCCTAGTTGACTGTTCGGTAACCTAAACTCAAAGTCCACACTCGAGTTAGTATCCGGAGTTATGAACATCAGCTACCCCCTCATATTTCAGGGTGCGTTCTTTTTAATAGTTTGAAATTCAAGATTAGAGTTAAAAAAGTGAGTTTAATTGGAATTGAGTTTCAAATTTGAGTTGTGTGTTCACTTAGTTAGTTTGTGAATGTTAAACTTGAGTTTTGTGTTCACCTTTGAAAAAAACATAACTCCAATTTTAGCAAGTTTTGACATGGATTTTTTTAAAGAGAGAAACCATAAACACATACATTCATATATAATAATAAAAACGTCCATAAGTTTAGCATTACAAACTCATATTAATCGTTGAAATTACGAAACAAATATATGTAACTACCGATTGCGATATGCTTCTAATGCCCCCCACATGCTAGCAGCCATCTCATCCCTCAAAATATTCATTTCCCTACGATTTGCGGAGTTGTGATTTTGTTCCATTGCCCGATCAGGATTGTGATTCTGATTAACATCTTGATCCGCATTCTCCGGATCAATATCAACAACTGGTACTCCGTCTCGTGTGTACTGGTTTAGTAGCTCGTCGTTATGGTTGTACATATGTATGAAATTGTGAAGCACGGCACAAGCAACAGGAATTTGTATCTGTTTCTCTATTGGGTAATTATTTATGCACTTTAGTATGCGGAACCGTGCTTTCCAAACACCGAAAGTGCGCTCAATAGAATTTCTTAGGGACGAATGCGTATAATTAAACAACTCACGCTGAGTTCGAGGACGGCCACGTCTTGCCCTATACTCTTGAAGGTGATATGTGCTCCCCCGGTACGGCGCCAAGAAACAATTGGTATTCGCGTAGGCAGAGTCTACAAGGTAGTATTTCCCTATATTAACCATTACAAATCAATAATTAAGTTCTGACAACCAACCGACAATACTTATTCTATATTGAATGTATAGCAAGGATTGTTGTTCGCATACCTGGCGGTGGATTTGGGAAATTTTTATCTCTTGTACTTGTTGCATCCGCAAGAACGCGCGCATCATGGGCAGAGCCCTCCCATCCAGCTAAGATGTAAGTAAACTTCAAGTCAAATGAACATACCCCTAACACATTTTGGGAGTAAAAACCCTTCCTATTCCG